ACGCTCTTCCAAACGTTTGATATCACGACCCGCATCGTCCAATGCTCTCGTTCTGTAATACTCATCATTATTTTCGTGGTCCAATGAGAAAATTCGGAAAAAGTTTTGAAAAATTTGGAAATTTTTACGAAAAAATTTGGAAAATTTCTATGACAATTCGTGAATTTCAATGAAAATTTTCAAAAAATTCCAAAACTAACTGCGCTGTCAGTTCCTTCTTGGTGTCAAGTAGTTGTTTCTCTAAACGTTTTCGTGTCTCTTCTGCGCTGTTCAATTGAATCTCCAAATCGTTTACCTGCAAATTAATTAATTAATTAATTAATTATTATATTTATTAAATTATATAACAATAAATATAAAAATACATAATAATGATAAATATAACACTAAAAAATATTGTTAAAACCCTCACCTGTGATTCAGTATTCTTCATTTTGCGCTGCATTAGCTGCAGTTCGTTGTCGCGATTGCGCAACGCCTGACGCACGCTACGCAACACCTCGGGCGGCGCGACTTGGGCTAGTGAGGCTATAATTAATAAATATTATTAACGATATTATTAAATATAATAAATAATAACAATAAAAATAATAAAACACAATATCATATATAATCTAAATCCTTCAATTCAACACTACAGGCACAATCTAGAGGGCGTGGCTTAATCTAAAATGGGCGTGGCCTATAATAAAACGGCTAATTCGCACCTGGCGATTGGGCACCAGATGACCGCTCGCTGCTTCCTTCGACTGGAACTGGCTCTTTCGAGACCATGTGAATCTTGCGGAGTGCATCCTGAATATTAACATCAATAATAACAATAATAATAATAAATAACAATAAATAATAACAATAAATAATAAAAAATAATAAACATAATAAAATAATAATAAAAATTCACCAAGCACTCGCTCAGTCTATCCTTCGTACGTTTCAATTCATCCTCCAAATCCAAAACCTTACTCGCGTTGCCGTCCCCACGTGATTCCAGCTCAAGGATTCGCTCCACGCTCTCTTCATACCTTAATTAATTAATTAATTAATAATAATAATAATAATAATAATAATAATAAATAACATATATAATAATAAATAATAATAATAAATAAATAACGAACTTCTTCATGATCTCCTTGTGCAGTTCATCGTCTGCGGCTGTCGTCGAAATGCCAAACTGTCCTCCAGTCGCGAGCGGTTGCGCGGCGGTCGTATCCACATTAAAGCGTTTGATGGCCTCGTAGAGGGTTTTGTCTTGGTTAATCACCGTTGTCGTTCCACCTTGGTCTTTCATCGCTTCTGCGATTAGCGGGTGATAGGCACCGCCCTTAATTTGATTTATTATTATTATTTATTATTTATTATTATTATTAATATTTTTACTATTATTTATTATTATTAATATTTATTATTCTTTATTAATATACATTATTTATTATTAATATTATTATTTATTATTTATGCTGTTCACTATCATTATAACTCATTTAATTTGTTACTATTATTAATTATTATTTATTATTGTTATTATTTATATTTATATAACAATAATAAT